TTTTTTTGTATCTTTTTAATATCATTTTTTTTTCTTTTTCTTATGGTGAGTTTTCCACTTGTTTAACGTTCTAACTTCGATTTATTACCTTCGTATTAATGTCAATCTTTTACTATCATGTTGTATTCAAGTACTTTCTACTAAGATTCTGTTGCAGTATATAATTTGAACAGATACCAAGAAGTTTTTTCTTTATATAAACAGAAAGAAACAGAAACACAACGTTTTATTGTAAATATTACCTTCAGATTATATACACCTTATTCTTAGTATCTGTCCCTTAAGTTTAGTACGAGAAATGGAATATATGTTCTTTATACTTACTGGTGTATGACTTAATTTCCGTGATGGGAAAACTTCTATTATTATATCCTCAAATGTACAATCTTATTAGGGTTCTTTTGCATAAAATATTAGCATAATATTGATAAATAACTAATGCAAAAATTCACTTTTCATCACGATTTATGCAGTTTGATTTCAGAAACGAGACGTCCTTTTCATAATGTATTAAGTTCTTTTTCTGTGGCTAGGGTTCTCTAACATTGCAAATGGTACTCAATCGATAAAAATTATTGTGCCAATCATTCAACTTGAAGCAAAGGTAGTAATGAAACATTTTTTTATCTCATTGATCATACTTTGTGGTAGAGTAACCTTTCTGCTTTGAGAAGATGTATTCCTTCTCTTGAGGCATTATTTAGTTCCACCTTATCCGATTTTGGTTACTATTTTTTGAAATATCATATATCAGGCATTTAGTAGTATTGGCACTACTAATTTGCTTGCTGTGAAGGCACACTATGTGCAAACATGCATCTTTGGTATACTCTACGAAGTGAAACTCTGGCTTGCTACAAACTTTGTTTGTTCCAGTATTAGAAGCTTATGGTGAAAGTCATTTAAAGCTCTAGAACCTTTCACATTTGCTTTGTTCACTCTTTGGTTTTCACAACTTGTCAAGATGATCCCATGACACATCAATGATGCCAATATAGATCAATATATTATGCAAATTAAGATTTATAGAATATTTACCATTTAAGGAGTAGATGATACAAGGACCTACAGCCTTCGTCACCGCATCCTAAGGGTACAATTTGTTCACAGAAATTATCTTGCATACATTTTACGTTGATAAATGCATGTATGCTTATGTGTTTAAGAAACTGGAACTATATGGTCTAATAAAAAGACTTGTAAACATCTTTAATTTATTTCAAGGACATCATACTCAAGAATCTGTACAACGAGCTTTGATTGTATGTATGTTATATTGACCTTTGGATGCAGCTTTAAACAACATAACAGGCCTACAAGGTCTGAAGCATACACACGTAGCTATTATTCCAATGTTCTCTAGATTCATTGGTCACTTTTATGTGATAGAAACGTTTCATGTTAGTGACTCTTTTATTTCACTCATCCTATATACTCATACGGGTAACAATCATATTTAAATGAAATTGCAGCAATATGTACTTTATGCGAAGGGAAAGTTTTTTATAGATATGTACATGTATTTAGACTCACGAATATGTAACTCGAGCCTCCTTATTATATTTTTCATATTTTCTCATATACCCATTACAAGTTAAAAATAGCATACATCTTTGTATTCATCTTTCAAATTACACGATATTAACTTCAATAACTATTACAAGCATTAATATAAACTTCAACATTGTTATCTTTTTTCAGGCATTATCCTTATTTATCTCAAACTCCAACCAAACCCACATGCCACTTCCTGTGAAAGAGTCCACTACCCAAAAACATGTGGGCTACGGAAAAGTGATTATCTTTGGTGAGCATTTTGTCGTCCATGGTGCCGAAGCGATTGCGGCGGGTATTTCAGAATATACGGAGTGCCGCCTGGAGCTGAGGCGGGGTGAGGCGGGGGTGGAAGTGGTGGACTCGCGCCCGGCGGTGCCCGGGTACATTCAGACCAAGCGCGCGGAGCAGGCAGAGGCCCACCAACTCGTTTTAAAACACCTCGGCATCGACACGAGCACGGATGGCCTGCGGATCTTTCTGGGCGGCCCTCTGGTCCCGAGCAGTGGGATCGGGGCCTCTGCCAGCGATGTTGTTTCCCTCTCCCGCGCCCTTAGCGAGATGTATGATCTTAAACTGAGCGAGGAGGCCGTTAACGAGAGCGCGTTTGCGGGGGAGTGTGGTTATCATGGGACACCGAGCGGTCTGGATAACACGGCGGCGACCTTTGGTGGACTCATTTCCTACAGGCGTGTGAGCGGGAAATCGCTTTTCAACCCGATCTCCTTCTCCTCTGCGCTATACCTTGTGGTGGTGAGCACTGGTATCACCGCGAGCACTGTCGAGGTGGTTCGAGATGTCCAGAAGCTGAAGGAGAAGGAACCAGCCCTCTTTAATGGGCTGTTTACCGCCTACGAGACGATTGTGAAAAAAGCCCAAAAGGCCCTTCTGGACGGGGATTTAAAGGAGATTGGGGCCCTGATGACGGCTACGCACGACCTCTGCCGAAAGCTTACTATTTCGTCTGAAGAACTTGAGCAGATCGTGTCTTGCTGTATGGCGCACGGGGCGTTGGGCGCGAAGCTTTCGGGAACCGGACGGGGCGGCATCGCAATCGCGTTGGCTGCGGATGCTAAACAACAGGGGGAGATTGCCGCGGCATTGGAAAGCTGTTGTCCACCTGCGAAATTTATTTGGAAATATACGGTAATGGGAAATAAACCTAAGTAAGTATATATATATAAAATGCTAGAACTAGTTATTATTATTATTGTTGTTATATACAGATATTATTTTATAAACATGATATTACCTAATGCGAAAAAATGAATACCTTATTAATAGGCAACTTTTTAAAAATTTATATATCTCGGTAAAACTGATGTACTTCCTTTCCAATTGTATTAGGTCTTAGTAGTAAACTGGATGTAGTATTCTAAACGACCTTTTATTTGTCCTTTTAGTATTGTTATTGCTACTGAATATTTGGATTTGCTTCCATCCTTTTATTTTTTCCATGTTGGTGACAATTTAAACTAGAGGTCGGTAGAACAGAAAAGTCTTGATAATGTAGTTTTAATCTTAATGTATACATTCATGCATATGTCATTCAAATTTGACTATTCTCACTTTTTTTTTTTAATTAAGTGTTTAGGATAAGCCATGTTCTCGACGACATCTCCCGTTCTCTTAGCATACTTACGCCGAAGAGTGGACAAGCTATCCAACGTATCGACTCTCTGAGGGTTTCTCTTTCCTTAATTATTTCTTGCATACACCAGTTGAATTTTCAAAGCAGTTAGTGTGTATCGAAAACATTTGAGGGGTTTGACAACACAGATGAGATGTTGACTGTGCAGGTAGAGCAACTTAAGAGGGTTTCCGAGTCAGATAAGGTGGCACACGCATCATAATGGTTTGGTTTATCTTAATTCGCATATGAAAAACATCGTTCCTGAGGGTTTATTGTGTGTATCATGATGTTGCAATTCTTGGTACTGTAAATTTTTAGACCTATTTGTTTTAGCAGTAAGAGGCAGTGTGTAGAGATTTGAAAACCAGAGAGGTTTGCTGCTTAATATTAAAACCTCATTCATTACAACCTTATTATCATTATTCTTTTCTTGTTCTTTTGTTCTCTTTACTTTCGATGTGGAGATGTACATGTGAAAGGAACCGACCTTTTTTTGATTCTAATATTATATTCAACATATTTAAGGGATGGTTGTCGATTTTGCTATATACCAACAATAGTTCCCTTTGGGATGTTTCATCAAAAAAACAGATTTTATAATTGACACCTATATGCATAATATTTATTTATGAACTCACACACAACTATCATATTTCACTTTTTTACAATTTTACGCAGTGCGCCACAGTTTCAGAAGCATCAAAGTTCTATAAGGGTTATTTCTAAGGTGATGAGTGATACTACCACACTTGCAGCAAATTCTTCCATATCGAATGATGGCAGTGAACGTCAAACATTACTAAAGAATGTGGTGGACTTCCTTGGTGTGATGTATGGTAATAAGTACATTGTTCACGATAATAAACAACTCAATGCCCCACACGTCGTTCAGGGTGGAGGGGACACGGGACGCTGTTTGAGCACACGAGCAAGTTCGTACAAAAAGGCCCTTGGAACCGTGCAGCTTTCACATGCCATCTCAGGAAAGATCATACCTCCAGAGGTGTCGGTAGGGGAAAGGGTGGGGGAGACCAAAAGCGCGCGAGAGAACGATTGCATTGACCAATTATTGAGTCACCTTATGCGTACGTACTCAACACAGAGGATCTCTGACGATTTCACCGCTACAGGGGATGAGCGGCGAACTAATTACGTCTTCAGCGATGGCGAAAAAAACGCGTTGGCTCAATTCAACTCGCTTCGAAATATCTCAAAGGAGAACATTGATATTTCATATTTTGTAAATCAGACTATTGATACCTTCTTAAGACCCGGTGCGCAGCAAAACTCGACATACTCGGTGTTATCCAACCTTGAGACGGACACCAACTTTGCGAAATTGCTTTCTTTCCATTCTCAAAGCAATCTACACAACACCGTGGATGATCTTGACGAGATAACTGGCGCACTCAAACCCAGGTTTATTGGTCATCAGGTCATCTTCAAATCGCTCGGATCCGCCCCTCAGAACGAATCGAGCGAACGATCGTTACACCCCGTACGGGGCTCGGTGCCATTTCCATCCGTGACAGCAACCCCCCATGAGGGTCTTGCAGGGCCCCGGGTCCATCCCGCCACCGCGCCAAGCCTGACGTTGGATTCCAATGTGCTGGGCCACTGCCATTCCAGTGGCACCTCCGACGACTTCTCAGACGGTGGTGATGGGAGAAGCGGCGCCTTACCGGATCGCCGCGATGAGCTCTGCGACAC